TAATTAGTAATTATTTCAAAAAAGTAGGCTAAATTTTAAATCACAAATGTTACGAAGTAGAACGGTTTATTTGTGCGCATTTTATTTTAATAAAAATGCAAAAATAGATCTGATATATCTCGAAGTCAGTAATCTCAAAAAAAAAACGTAGATGAAAAATCCTTTTGGAATCGGATCATGAGGTGCCTTAAGATTCCCCCACCCCTATTAAATAAACTAGTATTACAACAATTTCATAATGTACTTAATATTTTCATTACACCGTAACTGTTTAATAAAAGCAATACGGCACTCCTAGTTCTATATTTTTACGAATATAGTAGACTACGTTCTACCGGGCTAAGAAAGCCCTTTAGCTGTTACTAAACGCACAACTCTCATAATTTCAGACATTTATTGTGAGCATAAATTTATTAAACCACTTACCTTGTTCAACCTCCCTGTTAGATTGACTACAATTTTCCCGGCTCTGTGATCATCAATGATCTCAAATTCGCCAATGTAACCTGCAAAGACCACACAACGAGATTGAGCAGCTTGTTTCACGAGATATGATTGAATTGCTTTAAAAGGGATAGTTTTCTCAAAAATGCAAATTGTCATTCATTCATTCTCATGAATGTATGAACAGACGCTTTCGTTCTGGGTAACATCTTCCAGGTTCAACAGAAGTCAATCGTAAAGGCTCCGAACGACACTGGATGAAATATTCTTTTCTCAACACACTAGGGCAGAATCCTATGTCAAACTCGCACACAGAAAAGCTCATAACTCACTCACCGTGCTTCATCATCACAGTAAGAAAGCGCACTATGACTTTAGAGCAGGGTCTGAGGAGAACCTGGCGTTTCCCACGTTTCTCAGCATTGTTGATGCTTTTCAGTGCATCAGCGAGAACGTTCATGCGCACCATGATACCTGCAGAGAAAAAAAATCATGCGATTTATCACATAATAAATATAGTTAAAATATCCGTTACACAGCCTCATCTTACCAGTCACGAGCCAAACGCTACTCAAAAGCCAGGTACATATCGACAAAGCGGCTGTATGAAAGACTAAACGTTCAATCACACATTCTTGGAAACCGAACACCGAAAACTTTGTTACATGATTAGAAGTTAAAACTGTGGTTATAATTTTCTCCTGAGCTATGCGCTATGATTAACGCTCTGGCAGTGCGTGGAATAGTTCGCGAATTAAAGTTTTTCTTCACCATGAACCTTTCCGTTTCATAATACCATATATTAGTGGTTAAAGTAATGCAGCGGACTGCTGGAGTGCTTTGGTTTGACTCGGGTTATCCGCGTCTGTCCCTCAGAAAGTGGACAGTGACACTGAATTGTGGAGAGGTTAAGACAGCCGTGAATATCAGGGAAATATAACTGTTTATACAGACACGATTCACCAAATGACTCAAAAACCTGGCGTTTTGGCTGCTCATATACATATATTTCTGTCTACATGTGGATGATACGTAACGATGTCCGCGATTTTAAACAGATTATACACACATTGTAGCGATTCTGAACCTTACCAGTTCTGCAATATGGCGGAA